CCGCCCCTCTCGGAGAGCCTGGCAAGCTACCGAGAGTATCTCGCCCGCATGGCAGAGCCTGGCAACCTCCCCATGATGTATTCAATATGCCAGACAGATACTACAGGTAGGTGAGTTAAGTCATCTGGTATTTGTCCTTTTCCCTCTGATTTATTTTTCTTAACACGATGCCCTTCTGTCCCTTTTAAATTACAGTGAAGTGCATGATTTCATATTTTCTTAGTGCTGAATAGCATTCCATTGTACATGAATATAATTTTTTTAATCCATTCATCTATCTTGGACATCTGTATTGTTTTCCTAACCTGGCTATTATAGTAGGCATTGTAACAAACATAGGTGAGCACATCTCTTTTTTGTTTTTATTTATTTATTATTGAGTCATCGTGAAAGACTCAGTTACAAAGTTGTTCATGATTGGGTTTTAGCCATACAATGTTCCAACATCGTCCCTTCACCAGTGTACTTTTCCCACCACCAATATCCCCAGTTTCCCTCCCAATCCCCCACTCACCACCACCCCAGACTGCCTTTATGGCAGACACTTTTCTTCTCTCTTTCTCTTTCCTTCTGGGCATTATGGTTTGCAATCCAGGTACCAAAGGATTAACATGTATATCCCTTTACTTGCCCAGAGTGATCATTTTTAACTATCATTGACATAGTGGTCCCTTCTTTATCCTAACTGCCCTCTCACACCCCCCAACACCCACTTCCAATCCCAGACCAGTTCTCTGGCCTCTTGTTTCTATTGTCCTTGAGTATTAGTCTCATACTATGCTTTTTTTTTCTAAATCCCAGGAATGAGTGCAGTCATTCTACCTACCAGGTTGCAAGTCACAGCTCAGAAAGGAAAGTTTTTAAGTTTGTAAAAAGTAAAATGTTTTGGGGCTGGAGCGATAGCACAGCGGATAGGGCGTTTGCCTTGCACGCAGCCAACATGGCCAACACAGGTTCGATTCCCAGCATCCCATATGGTCCCCCGAGCACTGCCAGGAGCAATTCCTGAGTACATGAGCCAGGAGTAACCCCTGAGCACCGCTGGGTGTGACCCAAAAAGCAAAAAAAGAAAAAAAAAAGTAAAATGTTTCGGGGGCTGCAGTGATAGCACAGCGGGTAGGGCATTTGCCTTACACGCGGCCGACCCGGGTTTGATTCCCAGCATCCCATATGGTCCCCTGAGCACCGCCAGGAGTAATTCCTGAGTGCAGAGCCAGGAGTCACCCCTGTGCATTGCCCGGTATGACCCCCCCCCAATAAGTAAAATGTTTCACAAAACTTCATTAAAATTATTTTCATTTGCAATAGCCCATTTTGTTACATCTAGAAAACTGTACTTTTTTTTGTTGGTTTGTTTTGGGGTCACACACAAGATTTTTCCAGGCATAATCCTGGCTCTGCACTAAAAGATCACTCCTGGCCTGATTGGGGTGTTGGGGATTGAACCCAGGTTGAACACGTGCAAGGTAAGTGCCTTACCTGCTGTACTATCACTCCCTCCACCCCCAATATCTTATGAGTTTTAGAGTCCAGCTTCCCCATAAAAAATATATATATATATATATATAGTTTTTATTCTCAATTTCACAAACTTATACCTATCTTTGGTCATAAAAGTATCTGAACAAAAGCATTCAAATATTTAAAATTATCACAATTATTTTCTCACGTTGTGGGGCAGGGGTACACCTGACTGTGCTCAGGACTTACTCTTGGCTCTGTGCTTAGGGACAACTCCTTGGCATTACTGACTGGACCATACGTGGTGCTGGGGATTAAACTGGGGTTCACTACTTGCAAGGCGAGTGCCTTAACCTCTGTACTGTCTCTCTGGCCCCAGAAGAAAGAAGTGTCTTATTTTAATTTTAGATTTTCTATTAAATGTCTTTATAAATGAGAAGTCATCCATTACTGAACAAGGAATTACATTTTTAAAATCTTTGGGGCCGTACCCAGCTGGTGTTCTGGGCCTCAGGACCACACCTAATTGTGCTCTGGGCCGTCCAAGATACACCTGGCGTCAGGTGGTGTCAGGAGTTAAATCAAAGTCAGGTGCATGTGATCCCTGGATTATCTATCTGTCTCCTGGTCCAACTTAGCCAAAACACCCAAAAACCTTTGGGCCGCACTCAGGGCTTACTTTTGGCTCTGCACTCAGAGAGGCTGGAGTGATATAGCACAGTGAGTACGGCATTTGCCTTGCACGCGGCTGACCCGACTTCGATTCCTTTGTTCATCTTGGAGAGCCCGGCCAGCTACTGAGAGTATCCCTCCCACATGGCAGAGCCTGGCAAGTTCCCCATGGTGTATTCAATATACCAAAAACAGTAACAAGTCTCATGATGGAGATGTTACTGGTGCTTGCTCGAGCAAATCGATGAACAACGGGAGGACAGTGCTACTCAGAGATCTCTCCTGATGGGTCTTGGAGACCATAAGAGTGCCTGGGATTAAGCTGGAGCCATAGTGCAGCAGTAGGGCGTTTGCTTTCCATGTGGCTGACCTAAATTTGATCCCTGGCATCCCACATGGTCCCTGAGCACTGTCAGGGGTAATTACTGAGTGCAGAGCCAGGAGTAACCCCTGAGCATTGCTGGGTGTGATCACCCCCCAATAAAAAAAAAAACAGAAGAGTGTCTGGGATAGAACCCAGGTGAGCTGCATGCAAGGCAAGCACAACAAGCATAGACACTGTTCTGTCTCTCATGACCTCTGGAGCACTGCCAGGTACATATGCCCTAGTGGTCAACAGCACTGCCAGGGAGCCCCCTAAAAAAATAAAAAAAATAAAAGAATACAAAACATTTACTTAGTTTATTACGAAACAGTACTTCATTTCATTAAAGTTACACTGTCATTGTCACCGTCCTCCTGTTGTTCATTGATTTGCTCTTGTGGGCCCAGTAACGTCTCCACTGTGACACTTGCTACTGTGTTTGGCATATCAAATACGTCACGGGTAGCTTGCCAGGCTCTGCCGTGCGGGCGAGATACTCTCGGTAGCTTGCCGGGCTCTCCGAGAGGGGCGGAGGAATCGAACTCGGGTCGGCCATGTTGGCTGCATGCAAGGCAAACGCCCTACCTGCTGTGCTAGTTACAAAGATATCAAAATGAATAAAAAAAAAACAACTTCCAGGGTTCTTTCAGAGCTAAGCTGGGTTGGGGAGACAGATAATCCAGGGATCACACGCACCTGACTTTGATTTCACTCCTGACACCACCTGATGCCAGGTGTATCTTGGACAGTCCGGAGTACCACTAGGTGTGCCCGAGGCCCAGGAGATCACTGGATCAAGATCTGTTGCCTTGTACTTGGTGGTACCTGGTGGTGCTCAGGCGACCAGGCCACGCTGAGGACTGAACCCAGCTTTCTGCCTATAAAGTATGTGTTCCAAGATATTGAGCTATCTCTCTGCCAAAACTTATTTTTTGATTTATCCTCATGATGAACCCACCATACTGTTCTGAATCCAAATTCAGGTTTAATTCATACTCAACCAAACTGTAACTACGCATTTAAATTAACCTTGACCACTTGCTGACCTGGGCATGCTCAACCCGTAATATGGCCTGCTTTAACAACTTTTAGATTGAAGGTGTAATCTTGAAAATAGTATTTTTATCTTTGTAATTAACATTCTGGGTTGGAGCTATAGCACAGTGGATAGGGCGTTTGCCTTGCATACTGCTGACCTGGCTTCGATTCCTCTGTCCCTCTCGGAGAGCCTGGCAAGCTACTGAGAGTATTCTGCCCGCATGGCAGAGTCTGGCAAGCTCCCTGTGGCATATTCGATATGCCAAAAACAGTAACAAAAAGTCTCACGATGGAGATGTTACTGGTGCCCGCTGGAACACATCGATGAACAATTGGAGGACAGTGCTAATTAACATTCTACGGAAAGTTAAGCAATTTCTCTTGAGATCCATTTGAAAGCTATTGATTTTTAAAAATTGGGTCCATTCTTGGACATGCATGCTCCGCACTGTTGTACTTGGGGACCACTAGGACCACATCTAGTGGTGGTGGTGATGGTGATGATAGTGGTGGTGGTGGTGGTGGAGTGTGTGTGTACAGGGGGTGCCACTGATTCTTTTTCAAAATAATGCTTGGGTGTGAGGCCGTATGCTTGGCTCCCTCGGTACTGAAAGAGAAAGGAATGAAGATAGATAGGAGGTGGGGGGGGGGGGGGGGGCTGCAGAACAGAGATTGTTTAAGTGGTAGCACTCAAGCCTACCATGCACAGAGGTGCCGAGATCATGCAGGCCCCCAAGTCATACCTGATGCGTGATGCTCTATAAAGAAGGAATTAAAAAAAAACCCACCTTTGTTTGGGTTCTGCAATATTTTTCCTTCATGCCTCAAGAGTGACATTAACAGGGCAATAGTACAGTGGGTAGGGCGTTTGCCTTGCACCCGGCCGACCCGAATTCAATCTCCGGCATCCCATATGGTCCCTCAAGCACCGCCAGGAGTAATTCCTGAGTGCAGAGCCAGGAGTAGCCCCTGCGCATCGCTGGGTGTGACCCAAAAAGGACAAAAAAAAAAAAAAAGAGTGACATGAACAGCTCCTAGCTTTAACCTATTTTATGATCTTTGCAACCGTTAGCTTTAGTTGCCACCTTCCTAATTCCGCGAGGAATCAGTGTCTTGAACATCCGTAATTATTCAGTGGCTACAAAACAACACGGGTACATGATGCATTAAAACAGAACAAACACAATTCGCGAATCTGTAGCAACAACGTGCGTCTGTGTGGGCGTGTGGCTCGCTGGGACTAGAACCCAGGACCTCAACAGGCGGGGGGGGGGGAACCCGCCGCCGCGCCACACCCCCGGGGCTCGGCAGCCTCCCGCATCACACCCCAGACACACCGACGTAGCTCCCCGCAGCCTCGTCCGCACGCACCCCGCCACGTCGCCGCCGCCGCCGCCGCCGCGCGCGGGTCCCACGTGACCGGCCCGGGGGGGCGTGGCCGCGGCGCGCGCGGCGGCCGCCTCTGAGGCGTCTTGTCCCGGCCGCGCCGCCGTCGGACGCCGGTGTCGGAGGTCGCGGCGGCGGCGGCGTCGCTGCGGGGCTTCTCACCCGGAAACGCGCGGCCGCCTGACCCGAGCGTGGCCCTGGTCTCCGCGGCGCGCGCCGGCCGGGCCCCAGGTCCTCGCGGCGGTCCCCGCGGAGCCGGACGGGGGGTGGGGAGGATGGTGCCGGGCGGCCCCGGCTGAGCGCGGAGCGGCCGTGGGAGCAGCGCCGCCGCCGGAGCGGGGTGAGCGGGCCGGGGCGGGGAGGTGGGGAGGGCTCGGGGCGCGGGGGTGCCCAGCCCGGTCCCCCGGCCCCGGCGTGTGCCCCTCGCATGCCGGGGCGTCCCCGCGGCAGGGCTCCGGAGTGTAGCTTCGCAAAACGGGGCGGGGGAGGGGGTTGTTAACGTGCCGTTTCTGACGGGGCGGCGGGGTGGGGGGGGGCCCAATTATACCCGAGGAGGTGGCGAGCCCGGGTGGGCTTGTTGTTGTCGCCGCCGCCGCCGCCGCCGCCGCGGGCATCTTAGTGAAACAAACACGAGGCACGTGTTTCCGGGTCTCTCGACTGAGGGAGGGGCGGGAAGAGCCGGGTCGCCGCGGCCCTGGATGCGGTCCAACGGCATCATACGAGGGACCGGTGTTTAGGAGGGCGGGGGGGGGGGTCCTCCCGGAGTCGGGAGCGGGTGGGAGTCGGGCAGATTGGCCGCCCCTCGCGGAGAGCCCCTGAGCTCGGCTTCTCTCCCCCCCCCCCCCGTGGAACTTAGGCTGACCCGCCTGTCCCCCCCCCCCACGCTCCCTCGCGTTCTGTCAATAGACGAAGGTTCTGTGGGTGCGTGAGGGGTCGGCGCTTCCCGGCCCCGGCCTCCTTCAGGGGGGTCTGAAGTCGGCGCAGCGCAGATGGGCTTCATTCTCGCCTGCGTCGCCCCCCCGGTGTCTGCTGACTCGTGAGTGAAGGTGGGAGGGGGGGGGGAGAATTCCCGTGGCCTGGATCGGGATCGAGGCCGACCTGCCGGCGACCCGGCACTGCATGCAGCCAGGGAGTTCGTTCGTTCGTTGGCGGAGCGCATCCGATTTGAGCTCGCTCGCTCGCTTTGCGTTCTGTGGTTTGGGTGCGGGCTGCAGCGAGCGGCTGCAGGGAAGGAGGGAGCTGCCTGCAAGTCTAGTTTATGTCCGCAGGCTCACTTGAATGTTGCTTTCGGGGCCGGACCCCATGGTGCTGGGGGCTACTCCGTGGAATTTAAAGCTGTTGAGAAACCAATCGTCTGTAAATGTGGCAGTGTGTCATTGCCACATGAAGGGACCAAACTTGAGGGATTTTGTTATGGATCAGAAGGAAATTGCGTGTGAGTGGTGGATCAGGTGAACTGAAATTAAAAAAAAAGAAAAAAGAGAAAGAGCTAAGACCCGGGCTGGTGCGAAAACACAGAGGCTAGGGCATTTGCCTTGCATGCGGCAGACGGGGTTTCGATTCCCAGCATCCCTTATGGTACCCCTGAGCACCACCAGGAGTAACCCCTGTACAAAGCCGGGTGTGACCCAAAAAGCAAAAAAAAAAAAAAAAAAAAAAAAAAAAAAAAAGCTAAGACCACGTTGGAAGATGATACCGAAACCTCGAGTCTTGGCCATGTGGCTGGAAGACTGGTTAATGATTAAATGCTTTTCTAAGACAGAAAGCCATATCCTGTCCAGTCTGGGTTCTGGTGATATTTGAGAACTAAAGGATTGTTTTCATTTAATGAGCTTGTCTTGTTCTTGTAAACAGCCAGTGACCTCAAGTGGCACTTACTTTGTTTTTTTCAAAAATTTTTTTTTTTTTAGCGACCGTGAAAAAATGTGATTGTAATTTCTCTCAGGTATTAATTCACCCAGGCGTCTGCTTGTCATCTTGCCTGTATTCAGGATTGCAGGAGTGCAGCTTTGGAGTCCTCTCAGCCGCTCTGGCTTCAGCCAAGTGACAGCTCTTTAGCCATCTCCTGAGTGTTCAAAAGTGACCTCCAGTCACATCACAGAGATGATGTTTCTTTCTTTTACCCAGTATTGTCATTCCATCAGGCACTTCCCATTGTCATTTCTTGCTCTGAAACGCCTGACAGTTTCGGGACAGCACTGACTTAAAGCCGCCGCCTTTAAACCAGCACAGAACTGTACCTTCCTGACGCATTTCTCACTCTTTCCCCATCTTCTAGATAAGCATCTGAGAAAGAGTGGTCTTAAAGGACAGAACTTGACAGGGAGGCAGTGCTGTAGGGAGTTTTTGCTGGTATTGATATGGGCCGGAGCGGCAGCACAGCGGGTAGGGCGTTTGTCTTGCACACGGCCAACCTGGCTTACATTACTGGTGCCCACTTGAGAAAATCTGTGAACAACGGGAGGACAGTGCTACAGTGCTACCTTGATATGCTGCAGAATAACCTTGCCATGTAGGAGGACCTTACAGTTCAGAATTCTCATGGGGCAGGAGAGGTAGTCCAGGTAAAGCACTCGCCTTTCTTGGGGCAGCATCGACTGGGTGAATCCCTGGCATCACATCTAGTTCCGGAGTCAGAAATAGCTCCTGAATATTTCTGGGTGTGCCCTCCCCCTCCCCCTCTCTTCCCCAGAAAAAGAAGGAAAAAAGGAATGGAGGAAAGAAGGTTTTCATCAAATTGAATCTAGATTTATTTTGAGAAGCATAGAAGTATTTGTATTATCTTTTTTCCGATCCGAACCAAAGAATTTGACAAGAGATTCATAATTACATACCTACGTAGGACTTGGGCAGTACACATCAGCCTTCAGTGATGATAGTCTGTACAGTACTGTCATTTACCATTGGGTGTTTGTGGCCAGCCCAAAAAACTGGCTTGGGTCAGGATGTGATGAACATACTTCACATGGGTGAGGCTGGCTCTGGGAAAAAAGAGAACAGCAACAAAAAGGACCTGTTAGGTCTTTACACTGAATTTGGTGTTTCATATGATTTCATGCTGAGACTTAAGTAGTCATTGGATTCTGTGTGCAGTCGTGATTTTTTAAGATTTCTGTTAAACCAAATGATTACATTTCAATATGATGATACTTTTAATTTGGTTTTGGGATGGACACCAATCAAACAAACGGAGAGGAAATATTTGCCTTTTTTCTGACTGGTGAATTGATTTATTACTGTTTGTTGGTTAAGTAAGATAGTTCTTATTGAAATTTATTTAGAAAGATAGGAGAGAGAAAAAGAGAAATGTGTGTTTGAGAGTGAACACTGGCTTCTCCAGAGACAAAGAAGGAAGCTGTGGGTTCCAGAGAGAACATGGGCTTGAAGACAAACCTGGTGAATTTATTTTTAATTTCTTGGGGACTAGCGAGAGTGCAAAGACTTAAGATACACGCCCTGTCTCTGGTCGATTCTGGTTCAGTCCATGTCACTTCATGACTGGTGACGCCAAGCATTGACTGGTGTAGCTCTAGAGGCCGCTGTGCACTGCAGGGGTGGCCAGGGCAGTGCCACATCCTTGGTCCCTCATGTTGAACATCTGGCCTGATTGGCAGAGAATTGCCAGGCTTCCTGAGCACTGCTTGGGAGGGCACTCTGCTCCCACCCCCCCCGTCCCCCCGTCCCCTATAAAAAAAGGGAACCATGTTGGCGTTATCGTGACTTTAAAAGCTGAGCAGTGTTAATAGAAATCCTTTTACATAATTATAATCAGCCCATGTTCTTTTTTTTTTAAATGGAGGTGATTTTTATTTTTATTTTGCTTTTTGGGTCACACCCAGCGATGCTCAGGGGTTACTCCTGGCTCTGCACTCAGGAATTACTCCTGCTGGTGCTCAGGGCACCATCTGGGATGCTGGGGATCGAACCCTGGTCGGCCATGTGCAAGGCAAATTCCCTCCCTGCTGTACTGTTGCTCAGGCCCAGAACCCATGTTCTTTCTTTTTAATTTTTTGTCTTTAATCAAGTATAATTTTGTCAGAAATTCTTATTTAGAAACTAAAACTGATTTCTGTTGTAAATTATCTTGTCCCTTTAAACTTGAGTTACTGTAAAAGTCTTTTTTGCACTGTGAATTGTATTAGAGTAAGAAAACAAGAATCCACTGGTAGAAGATACCCTCTGCTTTATACCAAATATATTGAGAGTGCTTAGATAGGAGTTGCCTTGCTAAAGAGATGGAAAAGAAGTTTTGGAATTTTAAACTTTAAAAAAAGAATCTTAAATGTACTTTTTAAAATCTGTTAGTCTGTGGCATGTGAATATTTTCTTCCAAAGGATGGAATGATTGCACAGCAGGTTAGCACTTGCCTTGCATGCATCCAACTTGGTTTAAATCCCTGGCACCCACATGGTCCCCCAAGCCCGACCAGGAGTGATTCCTGAATACAGAGCCAGAAGTATACCCTGAGTACTGCTCTGTGTGGCCCAAATCCCTAACTCCCTCCCCCCTTCCAAAGGAAAAAAAAAAGTTCATCTTGGCATTTGATTTGAAACTTACTTATCAACCCTGGCATTCTGATTGATGGCATGTTTTTCAGGTCAATCAATCGCTGCCAGCTCATTTGTAGTATATAACCTTGTGCAAAGTACTTGATATATTTTGACTAAGCTTCCTTTTGTGTAAGGTGAGAGCATAAATACCTAGTAATATTTTGAGGATAAAAAAATGTAAAATATATCCAGTACTTGGCATGGTGCCTGGTGCATGGCCCATTTTATGTTGAAACTGTGAACAACAATACTCTTTGTAATCTGCTTCCTGCTATCATCATGTCTAATGAAATGGGTTTTGCTTATATGACCATGTCTTAATTACAAAATTTGGTGGAGTCATTTTCTCACTCAATGGAGTTGACTCTTATTCTAACCCCTAACAGTTAATGGGTGGAAAGTAAGAGCACTTAGTGGCTTGTTATTAGTATATGAACTCTAGAAGTTGAGTGGGTTTGAATCCAGGCAAATTAACTAGCTTATGAATTTTCTCTTCCATTTTACAAATGTGAGGATTGGGTCCCAGCACAAAACAAACAAACACACAAACAAAAAACAAAAAATGCGAGGATCTAACAAAATAAGTGCAGAACTCTTAGAACAAAAAAGTGGGCAGCAGTGTAAGTGTTATTGTCAGGAGCCTCCTTGGGGAGAGACACTGCCCGAGGGAGGTCAGTGTAACATTCGGCCATCCTGGCAGTGGGCACAATAGGAGCAGGATGCTTTTGGAGTTCAGCCGGCCAAAGAAGCCAGTGTTCTTGGGGATGGGGACCAACGAGCTGATTTTGAGAGATATTTGAGAGGTGGGAGTGACAGGACTGCTTTACTGTAGTGTGCTGAGTGGCAGGCATCCCTGCCTGACGGCTTGCCTTCTGTTAGGACCAGGTTGGTTCTGGATGGGTCAAGTGGAGGATTCTGATAGATGGATGTTGGGTTCTGCAGTGTGCTCCTGTCCTCTAGAGGCCCCAGCCTGAGCTCAGTTTGAGCTTTATCTGAGACCTCGGCAATTTCCTTTCTTCTTTCTTTGCTGCTGAATTGCCCGAGTGTCTTGTCTTTTCTGGTATTTTTGTTCTTTTTTTTTTTTTTTTTTTGCTTTGCTCTATGGTGGGTGATGAGGATGGTTTCTCCTCAGTGCTTGGGGAAAGCTGGGTGTTTGAGGCGGCCCAGGAGGTTTTTATGTTGATAGTGGAAAACCATCGTTTTACCTCTTCTAAGACTTGGATATTTGGCATCTCATCCAGAAGCCTTCCAAATAACTCCCAACATTACAGGATATTTCAGAAATGCTGACTTAATTCTTACATTCAAAATGGAGCTCTCTAAAGTGAATTCTACCAAAGTGAATTCCTGCTGTTTTAACACAAGAGAAAATAAATGTAGAGCAGGTCTCCGCATAGGAAAGCTTAAACTCTTATGTAGCCTCGGGGGAACTCTAGTAGAGAAGGAGGGTAGTTTTGGTGTTTAGGTGGTGAACCTAGTGGTCTGAGTCGTAAGTATGTGGAATATGGAATCCCTCTCCTGCCAGAGATTCCAGTTTTTAACTTAGACAAGTAGCCATGGGACATACTTTATTATTACTGTTTTTCTTTGGTTTGGGGGCCACTCCTAGCAGTGCTTAGGATTTAGTCCTGGCTCTGTGCATAGAGGTCATGCCAGGTGCTGTTCAGGGGATCATAGTGATGGAGATGGAGCTGGGGTCACTGTACGTGTACACAAATAGACCTTTATTTCCTGAAGCACTCTCTCTCCTGCCCCCTGGGGCAGTGTCCTTTAAAGAACATGGACTTTGGAGAAAGGGAGACATTATGTGTTTCTGGCATCATTGATGTTAATTTGTTTTTTGTCTAATAAAATATCACTAAGTTGCAAAGTCACTGCTCTGCTTACACTGGTCTCCTGTAGAGCCTTCTCTGAAGAGCTCTTTCCTCTGCTTGGGAATGTGTTTGTTCCCTCACCCGATCCCATTTTGCTTTTTAGTTTGGGGGCCACACCTACTTGTTTGTGACTCTACCAGGGATCTCTCTGTCAGGTCTGGCTCTGGGAACCGTATTGGGAATTGCACCTGGGTGGACCACTTGCAAACACCAATCCTTTACCCACTGTCCCACTGTAGTATTGCTCTGGCCCCTTTTTTTCATTGAAACAGTTCACCGGTTGCCTCAGTTTCTTCTCTGTGGTTCTCTTCTTACCATTTGTTTTCTCTCCCCTGTCTGGATCCAGTTATCATGCCAGACAGAGGGTTGTGAGGAACTCAGATTTACCTGAATTCCCCTCCCTATCCTCCAGTAATAGGGGATGGCTCTTGATTTCTGTGCTTAGAAATGAACCAGGGGCAGCTGCATAGAAGGCAACTAAGTGCCTTAACCCCGTACTTTCTCTCTGGCCCCACCCGAATCCTTTTTAAATACCAGAAAGGTAAGGGGATTCTTTCTTTAGTTATTCTTAATTTTTGTTCACTGGTCCTATCCTTCCTTTTTGAAGGTCTTCTCCCCTGCCCAGCTGGTGCTTCACCTCCTGAGACACCCCCTCCTTCCCTGACCCTCCTCGAACCCTCTCAGCTGGCTCTAGAACACCAGCCCACACTTGCCTGAAGAACCTCTGGGTACTGTCTGCCCAGGAACACGGAGTGCTTTACTTTGGAGGAGCTAGGTTGTAAAGTTCTTTCTCATTTTATACTTGGTTTTTCACAGATACCTTAAAGCCAACCACAGCAAGTTCAAGTATGCCCTTAGCCTAGGATATATTAGAAGACTTCCCTGTCCTGTTTTTGTTCTTTTTTGGTTGGTTTAAGAAATTATTATTTTTTTCCCTTCTGTTTTGGACCATGTCCAGTGGTGCTTAGGGCTTATTCCTGGTCTGTGCTCAAGAATCACTCCTGGCTGTGCTTGAAGGACCATATGGGGTGCCAGGGATTGAACCCAGGTTGGCTGTGTGCAAGGCAGGTGAGCCACCCACTGTACGGTTTCTCTCTCTCTCTCTCTCTCTCTCTCTCTCTCTCTCTCTCTCTCTCAGGCCCCTAAATCACCCTGTTCGCCTCCCTATCCTTTATTGATTGCAATGACTGAGGGTGACACGCTTGATTGTAGTATTTGGTTGTGATGTGCCAGAAATTATGGCACTGGAGATTCCAAATCGTAGTGCTGCTGGATGGCTGCTGCATGCGGATGAACAGGGATTTGAACTCAGGGCCTCGGCCCGGCAAGGATGCCACTGAGACGTCCATCCTGGGTCCCAGAAGCCACTGTTTTAGATTTTTTTATCCCCTTTTTTTGGCTTTTATTAATGAAGAAAGTGAATGAAATCAAAACTAAATGAGTTTCGTTTTGAACACAGTGGAAGAATATAAATTTTCTTAGGGATTATTTCAAAGGAAATATATAATTGTGATAGAAATTAAAATAAAAGCAAAGAAGAAAGCTATATGTAGTTTAACAGAGCTAACTATCAGCATCAGTGTTCGTAACTGAAGGTCTGTTATTGGTCTCTTACCCCGTGTGGTTGGTTGCCGATGCACACACCTTAGATACTGAGAAAGCCTGAAATGGCATTCTGTATATACTATTTTAGATTCTTTGGGGGTTTTTATTTTTTTGTTTGTTCGTTTTCTTAGATTCTGTGTTTTTAACTGGCTCCATTATTTTCCTACAGGTGAAATAGTCCTGCTTTTATTGGGCATTTTTTTTTCTGTTACATCTTTCCGAGTTTGCTCTTTCAGTAGTTAATCTATGTTTTCAGCACTGGGTGTTTCCTTGGTAAGTTCTTAGAACTGCAAGCCCAGAACTAAAGAGTTGGGTTTTAGTACTGTTGGTAGGTAGAGCCAAGTTGGTCACTAGAAAGTTTATAATAGGTTCTCCTTTCCTTTCCTCAACTCCCCACCCTTTAAAAGTGACTTATATTTTTTGTAACTGCAGGTTGCTTGAGATGACTCTAGGATACTGCAATTCAGACACTTAACTCACCATCCCAAGTGAGTATTGCCATTGAATTCCACATACGTCATTGACCTTTTGTGCTTTCATGTTCTATGAAATTGTCATCGTAGTCCTATCTCTCTCCTGGAGAAAGTCTCTGATTGGAGTTGGGATGCATTTTTAAGAAGGAGGGTCAGATAGTAAGTTTTCACTTTCTCGACTTCTCCCCACACATAGCTTAATTTCTTTATAAATAGTGATATTTACTGTTTGAAATTTATAAATGTTTTGATGATTCTTTGCAAAGGGAATAAATTTCATTAGCATCTTACTAATCTCATATTTGATGCATCTGTGAATGGTGGAAAGAAGTTTTAAGCTTGTGAAATAGTTCGATTTTAGCTTTAATAAAAAAGTAGTAAAATCACATACTGGAGTCTGGAAATCTGTGATTAAATTAACATTGATTGATAATATTTGCTAACTTGTGGGTGCTTATGCTGACATTGTGTTTAAGTGTGACAGGTTTTAGTGATAATTTTTTCTGGAAGTGAATTTTAATTCAAATTTTTCTGTTTTTCTGTATTCATAATCATAGATGGTGAATGATTTTTTTTTTTCTTTTTGGGTCACACCCGGTGATGCACAGGGGTTACTCCTGGTTCTGCACTCAGGAATTACTCCTGGCGGTGTTCAGGGGACCATGTGGAATGCTGGGAATTGAACCCGGGTCAGCCGCGTGCAAGGCAAACGCCGTACCCACTGTGTTATTGCTCCAGCCCCAAGTTTTTTTTATTTTTTGCTTATTTTGGGTCACACCCAGCAATGCACGGGGGTTACTCCTGGCTCATGCACTCAGGAATCACTCTTGACGGTGCTCGGGGGACCCTATGGGAAACGCCCTACCTGCTGTGCTATCGCTCCAGCCCTATGGTGAATGACTTTTATTTTTTAGATGCAGTGCACATTTTTTTCTCTCACTGGAGCTCTAGTTTACTAATTAAAGTTTTTGTTTCTGAATCATACTCATCTTAACCTAATTAGTATTATTTTTAGATTTTTTTCTTAAAGACTTTGCTTTTTTTTAGAGCATTATTAAGGTCACAGAAAAAATGGCAAAGAAGGTACAGAGTTTTTTATAAAACGTTCTACTCCCACTCAATGTTGCCTCCCCCATTGCCAACATAAAGAATGATACGTTTGTTACAGTTAATGAACCTACATTGACAGTCATTATCCCTCCAAGGCCATAAATTTGTAGGCTCTCCTCTTGGTATCATGTATCTACTGTTTTAGTCTCACGGACTACCATTTTAGAATTGTTTTCACTGACCTAAAAGTCTTAGTTGTACCTGTTTTCCCTTGCAGTCTTTAGCAATCACCAATCTTTCTGTGGTATGCACAAGTATTTTATAAGAAGCCACCAAGCCATTTTCAAAGTGACTATTCCTTTCTCTTTAGTTTTTTTTTTTTAATTTTAATTTATTTTATTATTATTTTATTTTTTTGGTGGGGGGTGCATCTGGCACTGTGCTCAGGGATCAATCCTGGTAGTGCTCTGGGAACTATATGAGGTGTCAGGGGACCGAGGGATCAAACCCAGGTCAACTACGTACAAGGCCAGTGCTTTCACTAACCCCTGTACAGTCTCTGGCCTAACTATTTCCAGTTGTGTGTCTTCTGGCAGTGAATGGGAGTTGCTAATGCTTCATTCCTTGCTAATAGTTGGTGGTGTCATTGTTCTGAGTTTTAACTATTGTAATTGATGTTTAGTGGTGTATTAGAATTTATTTCCTGATAATATGATATAGAGCATCTGTCAGTGCTTATTGGTCATCCATATCTTCTTTTGTGAGGTGTCTGTAAGATCTTCGGCCAATTTTTTTTTTTAATTGCGCTGTTTATTTTCTTATTGCTGAGTGAGTGAGTTTAGTCCTTCAATACCTGACCTTGGCATATGTTTTCCTTTAGTCTTCACTTGCCTTAACAGTATCCTTTATAGGGTAGAAACTCTTAACTTTAATGGTTAGGTTCATTCATTTTTTTCATATATGGTACCTTTGATGTCAAGGCGATCACTTAACTCAGTCTAGGTTTTCACGTGTTATCTTCCAGAGTTTTATGGATATAAATATAATTTATTAATAAAAAATTTAATATAAAACTTAAATTAATAACTAAGTTTTTGTTTACTTTTGAAAACTATGAATTCTGTATCTAGATACCTCATTCCTCCCCCATCCCCACCCCTAACCCAATGTGTATGCCTGATCTAGCACCATTTGTTAAACAGGTTTTTTTTTTTTTGCTTCACTATATTTTGCTTTTCTCTTTTGTTGGAGAACGGCTAGCTGTATTTATTTATTTTTTAATAAATTAAAAACTTTGTTTTATTAGTGAAACACCATGAGGTACAGTTGTGGACTTACAAGTTGTTGTGCTTGGGTTTCAGTTATACAATGATCGAGTACCCATCCCACCACCAGTGCCCATTCTCCACCTCCACCAATCCCAGTATCCCTCCCACCCCCCACCCCCCATCCCACCCTGCCTCTGTGGCAGGGCACTCCCCTTTGTTCTATCTCTCCTTTTGGGTGCTGTGGTCTGCAGAAGAGACATTGGGTGGCAGTCATGTTCAGTCCATAGACTACTTTTAGCAGGCATCCATCTCCCATCCTGGGCAGATCTTACCACCACCCTTTATTTGGTGCTCCCTTCTCTATCTGAGCTGCCTTTACCCCTAGAGTGTGTGGCTGGCCTCTAAGCCATGGAGTGAACAATCTGGTATTTATCACAGCTGTTCTTGGGTGTTAGTCTCTTATTTTGTTACCCAGATGAATGCAATCTTTCTGTGTCTGTCCCTCTCTTTCTTCATGTCGCTTAGCATAATATTTTCCATGTAGTACCACTTGTATGTAAATTTCATGACTTCATTTTTTCTCATTGCTACATAGTACTCCATTGTGTAGATGTACCAAAGTTTCTTTAACCAGTCATCTGTTCGCAGGCACTCAGGGTTTTTCCATATTCTAGCTATTGTCAACAGTGTTGCAATGAACAAACAAGTGCAGATGTCACTTCATTTACGTTTTTTTTTTTTAAATTTTTGTTAGTGAAACACCGTGAGGTACAGTTGTAGATTTACAAATTTTTGTGCTTGGGTTTCAATTGTACAATGATCAAACACCCATCCCTCCACCAGCGCCCATCCTCCACCACCACGGGTCCCAGCATCCCTCCCATCCCCCATCCCCACCATCCCGCCCTGCCTCTGTGGCAGGGCATTCCCTTTTGTTCTCTCTCTCTCCTTTTGGGTCCTGTGGTTTGCAAGAGAGGCATTGAGTGGCAATCATGTTTGATCTATAGTCTACTTTCAGCATGCTTCTCCCATCCTGGGAGGATCCTCCCAACATCCTTTATTTGATGCTCCTTTCTCTGTCTGAGCTCCCTTTTCCCCTAGAGTGTGTGGCTGGCCTCCAAGCCACGGAGCAAAACTCCTGGTACTAATCTCATCCACTCTAGGGTGTTAGTCTCCTATTTTGTTACTTTATGTTTCCTAGATGAATGCAGTCTTTCTATGTCTATCCCTCTCTTTCTGAATCATTTCGCCTTACGTGATGCTTTCCATGTAGTACCACTTGTATGTAAATTTCATGACTTCATCTTTTCTAACAGCTACCTAGTACTCCATTGTGTAGATGTACCAAAGTTTCTTTAACCAGTCACCTGTTCTCAGGTTTTTTCCAGCTTCTGGCTATTGTAAAGAGTGCTGCAATGTGCTAGCTGTATTTAAATGGGTCTTTTCTGGGTTTATTTTGTTCTGTTTTTCCCTTTTCTTTTTTCCTATTTCTTTGGTCAGTATCACACTGTTCTGATTATAGGAAGTCTCGAAGTCCTTTGTCCTCCTTCAATATTGTCTATACTGATTCTTTTATCTTTCCATATAAGCTTTAGAATAAATTTTAAATAAGTTTTTGATATCCATAAGGTAATTGAATTTTGGATTTTGATTGCACTGAATTAAACCTGTGCATAATTGGGAAGAACTGCCAGCCGTACATGTTGAGTGTTTCTGTTTGTGAGCATGGACCATTTATTTAGTTCTCTTGATTTTGCTCATGAGAATTTTGTAGTTTTCCTCATATAGCTCTTGTACAGATCTTGTTTTTATATTTAAATAAATTTTAGGGATTGACAATAAAAAAAAAAGTGGTGTTAGTTGCTAGTTGCTCCTTGATGGCATATAGGAAACTTGCTCTAATTACTTCCTTGGTTTTTTTTTTTTTAGTTTATGGTTTAATTCTACTCAATTTGATTAGTTTGTTTAATGATCTTGCATTTTAAAAGTACCCACATGTAAAAAGAAAAAAACATAAGTATCTACATATTGATTATGCAGAGACAAGTAAGATATTGTACCTGCCCTTAAGAACCCACAATTACAGTGAAGTGTTCAGGCACTCTGGGAGAAATTTGTAGTTGAAAAATGAAAGTGGTCCCTTCTCCTTGAAGGAGTGATTAGAGAGGCCAGAAAACTTTTATAGGGAAGGTAACCCTTGGCTCCACATATTGGGATGTGGTTCATGAAGGTCAGGAGGACTTGTGGGTTGAGAGGCTCTTACGGTATTGTCTGATATGTACTTGGGAATTGCAGGCGTATTTTTGAACCATTTAAAAGTAGAAAAGACCTAGCTCATGGTTGATCATCATTTGTAACTCAGAGATTTAAGCTGTAATACGATTTGTATTTGAAAAAGTCACTCTGACAGTACATAGAGCAAAGGTTCCCAAAGTTTTGCTCAGTTTTTTTTGGGGGGGGGGGGCACACCAAGTGGTACTCAGGGCTAACTTTTGGCTCTGCACTCAGGGATCACTCCTGGCAAGGCTTGTAGAACCCTGTGGGGTGCCAGGGAGTGAACCTAGGTAGGCTGTATGCAAAGCATGTACTGTGCTCACTGTAATAGATTTGGAGATCACTCCACTTTCCCAGATCTATTTGGCTTACCTGTCCGTCCATGGAAAAGGCATCCCTCTTCCTGGGAACTCTATCTTCTTT